CCCCCCCCCCGGTTCGTAAGTAAACAGCACCTGTTAGCATAGATGGTTATGTAAGATTTTTAAAAACAGTATTTTAAGCTTATCTTGTGTTGCTGTTGGTTCCTTCACAGGAAGCCCTCCATCAAAAGTATACGGAAACATGAGAGCAGTGGCGAGCAGAACGGCCGAGAGATTTTGAAGAGACCGGGCGGAGATGGAGGGAAGTGATACAGGAGAGCAAGAATGAAGTCAGATCCGCAACGAGGAATTGTGATGTCTGTGATGATAAATTCGTGGCAAATACAGAAATGTTTTGATCTGATACAGCGTGGCGACGGATTACAAACAACATTTTTATCACTAACACTTACAAACTTGCAAAGGATCAAAAGCACGATCAAACGAAGACAAGGAAAATTTTAATTTATTGGAATGGAAAACTTCCAGTGAAAAAACCAGGATTTAGAAGAAATTGCAACCCAAAACTAATAGGAATCAACTGAACATTTTTTACACAAATTTGTATAGTCACAAAAAATTGCAAACGGTTGCTTAAAACTTGCTAGAAAATTGTACGTACAGATATATTGTCTGATGTAGTCCATGCGTTTTACCGCTATTAAACGAAAAAAATAAAGATTTATCTTGGAAGCAAAATGCAATAAACCACAGAACAATCTCATAAGCAAAATAGAGGAGTACTGTTTTATCCATTTCTCATTGGTTAGTCTGTCCACAGCCGTTTACGTTTTTGGTGCGAGTTGTTTTTCTACGAGCAGGCGAGAGCAGCCGCGAAGTGGGCGCAAGATGTTTCCCCAGCCCCACCCCCTGGCGTTTTAACGTATGTATTTATTTTACTAAGTTCGCGATCTCGACGAACTAAAGACAAAATAGCTAAATAGGTAAAGCTTCCTAGTGTGTCGAGCCTTCCTGACAGTGTCAGACCATTTTTGGTTCCCTTGAAATGTTCAAACTTCTGAAGGAAAACAAAAGATGGAAAGGCAAAGTAGACGGTAATAATATGGTTAACGGGTTGTATGGAGTACCCTTCCGTGTTCAATTCGCATTTATTCAAGTGTTCATGGTCTTGATTTTTGTACAGTCGTATGCACAGGAATACTCATTCGAAACTCCAGGTAGCAGGAATGTTTTAATCTCGTTAACGGCTTTGCTTTTGCAGGGCACAGTGTAGAAGCTCTTCAAAACACCTACATTCGCGAGTTGAGAACCCGAGTTGGGTGGGAGTATCGCCACATGTGGGCAGGGTGGGTGTGTGCGGCCCAAAAGGATGTTTTTTTTAGCAGTTTTGGTCAGAAATAGGGCATCGATTTTGGCCATTTTGTTCCCAAATAGGGTATGGATTTTGCACTCTAGTCTTGAACTGGGTATGTTTTTTAGAAGAAGCTACTTTTTCATCATTATCGATAAGACCGTCGACAAAAGCCTTTCACAATGTCTTTCACATCGGTCTGAACTCGGGAGCTAATTATAGGGCAGTTCAGAAACGGGGAAACAGTGTAGGAGAATCGCAGCTATAGTATATTTTAAATGTTCAATTCAGTTGTTTGCGCTTAAAACTGCATCATAAATTTCTGCATTGCGAGGCATTGCAACTTAAAGAATAAAACCAAACTTCAAAGTTAACATGTGCGTTTATTTTCTCAGATTTTCTATCAAGACATACATATGCGATATCAATAAATACAATTAATCTTTTTTGTCCACTTATACAAAATCTCCATAAAAATTTATTACTTTTTGATTGCTGGTAAAATCTTTATACAAAAGGCAAATATTTCCTTGATAAAAATGGTAGAAATTGGTTCTGTTCAGCTGAATTTTGATGACTATACGGCCAGCAGAAATGATTAAGAAAACTTCAGTACTTTTTTCTTTTTCTTTTTCTTTTTTCATGCAACCTGCTTTGTTACCGATAGCGAAAAGAATGGTCAACTCCGTATTGGCATTTTTCAGTTGTGGAAAGTGAAAATCACGCCAGCGTGAAAGAAAAGAAAACTTGAGGTGTATCTGGCAGCATTTAGCATGTTCTTTTTGGTAGACACTACCCAGGAAGAAATTTGAAAACCCGGCTTTATTGCTTACGGTTAGGATTACCGTCATGAAAACGGAGCTTTTCGAAAACGCTCTTCAAACCGGAGGGATTTGCAAACGACGGCTTTGCGTTTTCGTATGGACGGAAAATTTTTTTTGGAGCTTTTCGAAAACGAAAACGTCACGATAATCATGTGATAAACCCTAACTCTCGAGCGTTTCTGCTGCCGGTGATTGTTGCGTTTTCAAATTTCTTCGATCCAGGTAGCGTGGACAGAAAGCATTTAATTCGTTTTCAGAGTGCATGAAAACGCTGTTTTCAGATTTCTCCGGCGTTGTGTGCACGGGGCGTAAGACTGAAAAATGAATATGAAACGATTGTTTTTGTCATTAAATAATTTGACAAAATTTGAAGTTGTGGATACCAGTGAAAGATCTCCACAACCTCATACTAATTTTCCAGTTAAATAAACTAAATATCTTCTAGGTTTTAAGCTTCTCCTCTAATTTTGACTATTTACAATAAAGCGGAGTGTTTGCCCCACCTAGCTAGACAGTGTAAATTCTAAACTTGGTGAAACTCTAACCAAGCCATAACAGTAGATCGCCGTTTTTGGAGCTCAAGGTGTTGCGTGACGTCATTGATAGCACCTGTTAGGACACCTGACACAATTTGTCCATGCCTGACCGCTGCCTAAATCCGCGGTTTAATAAAAACAATGCAATGTTTCTCAGTGATTAGAAGTCCCGCTAACGCGGAACTGAAACAGCTGTAACCATAAATAAACTAAAATTCGTACAAGTCCAGTCAAGCGGACAAAACGTAAAAAAATTCATCTCATGATTATTTCGGTTTTGTTGAGTGCATGCGTTCTTTTGTGAAGTAAAAAACATCCTTGATCGTGGGCCGCAACCTAGGCTCGGGTATTAAACAAGACATGATTAGATACCCAAGGTCGGGGCTGTATAAGTTCTCTGCCTCTTGTAGTCTTGCCGGAGGGACCCCATTGACAACATTATTCAAGGTTTCAAAAATATTTTCACCCTGGTGCAAAGGAAAAGCAGGTTCCAGAAATGCCAACTCGTAGGCCACGCAGCCGAGCGACCATGAATCCTGTTTGTTCGAGTGTTTCTGTCCCCGTATCCTCTCCGGGGCAACGTAAATTCCATAGAAGGAATCTTTGCCGTCCACACAGACGTTCAGCTCTGTTTCGCTGGGCGTATAAATTAACAGATTGTGCAGCAAAATATCTCCCGTTTTTGAGAGGGACAAAGTTTTGGTTTGGATCTCCGCGTGCACCATCTGCCGCCTCTGTAAATACCACAAAACATCGCAGATTTGATGAAGCATTTTCCACAAAAGCCATTCCGAGAATTTAACACCTGCTTTGCGATATTCTTGCACTAGTTCGTAAAGACTCTTTGGAAATGGCTCCAATACCACAGCTACGGTTTCTTGCTCTCTGAACCACAACAACAGCTTCATTATGTTCTTGTGATTTATATCTGCCCATTTGTCCAACAGACGCGAAACAGTCGTGGAAGTACAAGCTTTGACGTTTATGCACTTCAAAAGAACCTTAGAATCGTCCAGCAAGCTGCAGGCTGGATAAATACAGTGAATTCGCATATCTCTGGGGAGATTTAAGCTCTGCATCTCAAACTCTCGAAAGCTGAAATCCGATGTCAAAAAGTCAATTAAATTTCGCGGCAAAGGAAGATCTTTTCGCGCTCTCCGTAGTCGATGTAATCCTGTGTTCCTTATAATCACAGCCCTGCAAAGTTTTCGGAGGCTCGTCGTTTTAGGTTTCGGTATCCGCATTTTTCGCTTTGAGCTCTCCGCTTCAGTTCCCGAACTCATGGAAGAATCATTAATTGTGTGTGTACTTCACTCAGCATAATTGCTTCGGGCTGGGCAACTTTAAGTCCTCGATTGGGCATGACAGAATGTACCGTTTTGAACATACTAATAAGTCATTTGCAGTTGATTCGATCTGACATGGCAAATTCGCGATTAAAATAGCTCTAACTGCATTTAAATTTTATCGCGCAATAACAAAACAAAATTAGCATATGATGTCACTTCCGTTAGACGTGCAGGGCCTGGGACAAGCTCAGACTTGCAGTTTCCAGAATTTTTTCGAAGTTAACAAGTATTGTGAAAAGCAACTTGAATCGCACATGTTTCACTTTCAATCGAAAAGCAACCTGGAAACAAATACCTGAATGATAGCGAGTTTAGATTATTACTACCAAGAACAGTTCGGAGAGCGTGACTGTTAACAGGTTCTGCTTTGTCACGCAACCGGAAAGTGGGTTGTGGAGTGCGTCACAACACTAAATTCCCAAACCCAATATCATCAATATTTTAAATGAGAAATTTGTAGATACACTCTTCAAGAAACGGCTCTGTTATTGGGCAATATTGCTATCAACGGCTGAAAAATCCTCTGAAATCGTAGCTATTCGGGAAAATAAAAGTTGCACAGCAATGGCCGTGAAAGACTGGACCCCGCTACACGGTTGTAGATCGATAAAAGGTCGGTAATATTCGCGGGCTCGATAATTAAACGGAGAAGTTCGTTATACGTCCTCGTCGTTCAGTAATGGCGACAAAAGAGGAATCAAATATGGCGGAGGCTAACGGTGAAACTTCGGTAAAGAAATTGAGCTTTTAGATGTAAAAATCCACGTGATCAGCCTATTTTCTTAACTAAATCTTTTAATTGTTGATCATCTTAGATGGAGGTGGTAGAAGGTTGCAGAATGCCAGTAAAAATGAGTGGTTCCGACGAATGGCGTAAGTAATTTCTTCGATTCAAAGTGAAAACGGACATGCAAAATGAGGTTGAAAGCGTTGTTCTTGTGTTCACCACTTACATTTTTTTCGTAGCATTGGCTGAAATACTGAGCAAGAGAGAACTTTCAAATGGTCTGACCCATTATTACGTGCATTATATCGACTGTGAGTACGAAATATTTTGTGTATTGTATAAGCTTACGCTACAAGCCTATATTGCATATTTTGGCGGGCATTTTGCTTCCACAGCAACAAGCAATTTTGGAGTTTTAACTCATGGAAGGGCAATTTTTCAACATCAATCCTGTAGATTTTATTCATTTGTGATTTATTTAACCCATTATTAAGACTACTTAAGGCGTAATTGTCAAGAATCCGAGTTTTTTTCGAAATTTATTCAGCCCAAAAATTCAAGATGGCGGAACGGGAGTTTTCATTCCCGTGATGCATTGCTTCCCTAAACGACAGGTCCGCTCGGCGTACTTGTTTATACTTCTACAAGTTGAATCCCTGCTGTATTTGAAATTAAAGTCTTTCTAGAACAGCTTGATCATTCACAGTATCTTTTTAATGATCCCATACACTTTCATATGTGGCCTTTATTACATGATTTATGAAAATATGATGGCATTTCAACACAAAGCAGAATTTTTTTTTTCCAGTTCAAAACTTTTTCATTGGTTACATAAATTCCCAAACCCAATATCATCAATATTTTAAATGAGAAATTTGTAGATACACTCTTCAAGAAACGGCCCTGTTATTGAGCAATATTGCTATCAACGGCTGAAAAATCCTCCGAAATCGTAGCTATTCGGGAAAATAAAAACTGCACATCAACGGCCGTGAAAGACTGGACCCCGCTACACGGTTATAGATCGATAAAAGGTCGGTACTATTCGTGGGCTCGATAATTGAACGGAGAAGTTCGTTATACGTCCTCGTCGTTCAGTAATGGCGACAAAGGAGGAATCAAATATGGCGGAAGCTAACGGTGAAACTTCGGTAAAGAAATTGAGCTTTTAGACGTAAAAATCCACGTGATCAGCCTATTTTCTTAACTAAATCTTTTAATTGTTGATCATCTTAGATGGAGGTGGTAGAAGGTTGCAGAATGCCAGTAAAAATGAGTGGTTCCGACGAATGGCGTAAGTAATTTCTTCGATTCAAAGTGAAAACGGACATGCAAAATGAGGTTGAAAGCGTTGTTCTTGTGTTCACCACTTACATTTTTTTCGTAGCATTGGCTGAAATACTGAGCAAGAGAGAACTTTCAAATGGTCTGACCCATTATTACGTGCATTATATCGACTGTGAGTACGAAATATTTTGTGTATTGTATAAGCTTACGCTACAAGCCTATATTGCATATTTTGGCGGGCATTTTGCTTCCACAGCAACAAGCAATTTTGGAGTTTTAACTCATGGAAGGGCAATTTTTCAACATCAATCCTGTAGATTTTATTCATTTGTGATTTATTTAACCCATTATTAAGACTACTTAAGGCGTAATTGTCAAGAATCCGAGTTTTTTTCGAAATTTATTCAGCCCAAAAATTCAAGATGGCGGAACGGGAGTTTTCATTCCCGTGATGCATTGCTTCCCTAAACGACAGGTCCGCTCGGCGTACTTGTTTATACTTCTACAAGTTGAATCCCTGCTGTATTTGAAATTAAAGTCTTTCTAGAACAGCTTGATCATTCACAGTATCTTTTTAATGATCCCATACACTTTCATATGTGGCCTTTATTACATGATTTATGAAAATATGATGGCATTTCAACACAAAGCAGAATTTTTTTTTTCCAGTTCAAAACTTTTTCATTGGTTACCTAAGCTATGCACTTCATGTAAGACTGGAAATCTCTTGGCTAACTTCTGTTTTGTGTTTTAGTCAACAAGCGGCTTGATGAATGGGTTGAAGAAGAGAGACTGGACTTGACCAAACTGCAGATGCCTAAAAAGGAAGATACTAAAAAGATCAGTAAGGGTAAAGGTACTGCTGGTTCCAGGCCCTGCTCGCCTGACAGGGAACTTGTGAATGGTGTCGGAGGAGGACGACCTAAAGCTCCGGTAGGCAGGAAGAGGAAAGCCAATGCCATGGACAAGTCTGGTGATGAGGTAAAACACAAGAAAACTTTCTCTGTATATTAGAGACAAAAGAAAAAAAAACATTTGAGCCTCTAACAAGAGTCAAACCCTGTGTCCTTCCACACACCAGTCAGGTGCTGTAGGTAACCACAACGCTACAGGAGAAAGTAGTTGAGACATTACCCAAAAACAAAATGTTCTCCCTTCAAATGTAATTTGTTCTACTTGCACACGTTATACATGTATTTTGCTCCCTTCCCCCCTTCCAGTGTTGTAACCATGTGACAGTGTCGAAAAAACTTGTTTAACATTGATTGCGGGGTGGGGGTGTTAATTGACGAAAAGAGTTTTTTTTTT